CACGCACACACATACGCCTACAACCCCCTCTCACACGCACACATACATAAATATAAACAGAAGAAGATAAAATAAAAGGACAGAACGATGCCTCTGCCTCGAGATGCTTAGCCCAGGGGTTCATATCAGGTCATGGAATAGCGTTGGCCACACTACCGCCCCTCCGATTTCAAAGTCATCTATAATAATCGTTCCCTAAAAGTAGCAACTAAGTCTATCCCGGAAGTATTCATGTAGTCTAGATTACCCTGATGTATACCAGTACTTGTAACGCTTGTCATCTCATTTGGCAAACAATATTGGAACACGGCTTAGTAAAATGCCAATGAGAGACCAAGAAGCTAGAGTGATTTACATGAACATGTATATAACTTGGGTGCCGCATATTAAAATATACTTGATATTTCAGTGGTCTTGCTACGTAGATCAATGATTCACTTCTCACACCCATAGTTCACACGAAGATCGGTGCCTGTGTTTTGACGTAATAGTGAAATCAAATCCATGGCTACCCTTGTAGCAATGAATATAAATGCGGTAGGGGTGACACTTTTTTTGGTAGGGGAGCATATGTTTAATGTACATGCCTACATCAAAAGTGCAATGTACCTTCATAACGGAGTCAGAATCATCTTCCAATGTAAATATGTTTGTCTGTTGTTTGTGTTTATATTCATTTTGTTTATTGATCAGATTATTTTGGTTTCAGTGCATGCAGGGACGGTTGCCAGCTTAATTACTAGCTTGCACGTTTGCCGAAGAAATCACAGGTATATATTAATATGCAATCTACATGCATATGGTCACTCAGTGAGTACTAATGTGGATTGGTTCAGTGTATAAGGTGTCTGACCAATAAGATGCCAAGCTTTACAAACCTTTGTCAGAATAAAGAATCGTTTCGCTTTCATTTGATAAAGGAAAGCTGCGTATGTAACGTCGTTAGCTGACGTTCATCTAATGTTAACCCAGCAATTTGTTAACGTTCACGTTAGACATTGTGTCAACGTTAATACAACATAATTTCCCTACTGGGTATGTGTGATCGGCATTTAACTAACCCCCCCCCTAAAAATATCAGTTTTTGATAGATGCTTGCTGCCTTAATGTGAAAACCTGAAACACGCCAATAAACTTACACAAAATACGTCTTTCAAAGTAAAAGGACGCGCATGCCCACTCTAAGTGCCGTTTAAGAAATCGATGCTGAAACTACGCAAAATTCCAGTCCTTTCATTTGAAAAGTGAAATTTGTATCGAACTTCAACCGTGTCATGGATCCACAGCATTAAATTCAAAAACATGATCTAAAGCTTCGAAAATGGATCACATTCTTGGCCTTTTTTGCATTTAAAGAGCATATTTGCGTAACTATTTTTATTATTTTCATCTGGCCCTCGCATTTAAAATGTTTTCTGTATTATGCATCAATGTTGAGCAAAATATCACTGTATTACATGTGCAAAACAAAATAATAGCGTCGCGGAGAACTTGTGTAACAGGAATGGTGGTCCGCTAGGAACACGTATTCCGCTTCCCATACTTTGCACAGTTGACACCTGTCCCATATAGTAATCCCAATATTCCAACTAACCCTAAACTGTTTTAATCGTATGGGATCCTCGACTTCCATTCCCAGGACTTACATTTCTGTTACACCGGTACCTTTATCACGGCGTGGCTCAAAACGATACTTCCTGTTAAGCGTAATGCTGGAAAATCTAAAAAAAAAGTCGGCACAGCAGATGGTCTTTATTTCCCTGCGTTTGTGTCCTTTAATTGAGCTTCTCTAATACTTAAGTACCATATCTTAGGCGTATTTGAAAGATGGAGCAAAGGGAACTTTAATAGATATTAACCATTTGGTGATAAAGTGCTTTACTTTTGTCCAGTTAATGTCGTAGTTTTACTTGGAAAAGGTGGAGTTGTGGCTGCCAAGTTGGACCGTACTGCGCTTTATGCAGATGCGTTAACTTCACTTAGTGTATCGTTTCGGAAGCCGATTATTTTTTCTGTTGGTTAAGATAGGCCTCTTCTGTGAAACCTATATGATAATAAAAAATAATGTGGTTATTCTTAGTTGTCTTATTTGGAAAAATTAGGTAAAGATATACGTGTAGTGTTCTTTGAAATGCAGCAAAATGACTTGTCTCTACTCATCTCTTCATTTTACACCCCTTTCTACTAAACATGCATATATTCAACTTGTGGTAACTTACCGTACAAAATAAAACAACTGTGTATTAACAAACACGATTCTTATTGAAAAAATGATGGAAATTATACAAAAATGCCTCATGTTTTTCCCGTGGTACGCCCTCAGTAAACACGAATGTTGAAAATATGTACATGTACAATACATAATATGGGGAAAACTGCGTGACTATAGATAAGAATGACGTATGGATGTGGTAAATCTGGCATACCACTACCTGTAATTGTGAAAAAAACTTCCTCTAGCTACATTTGAGTAACATTTTGTTTTCAGCAATATTCCAAAAACTGAAACATAAATGTTTTTAGATAAAATTGCGTTATAATTTATACTAGGAGAAATTGTATAATAAAATGTAATGCTATGTGCTATGATTTCTTTGTCTTTTTATTTATTTATTAATTAATTAATTTATTTATTTATTTATTTATTTATTACTTCATTGTTTGATCGTCTCGTTGTGTGACTATCTCTTCGAATCTAATATAAATCTAAGTATATGGCAAACTTATCAAAAAAAAATTAACCTTTTTATCTACTTTTATGATTTTCAGACTTCTTTCGAAACAATTTAAATAAATTGTATGAATACACGTCTCGGAAGCCCTGAGTCCCAATACGGTAAATTCTCGAAAACAAAGTGAATTATTTTACATGCTTTTGTCACACCGATGGATCACTGCTGACATCTGTAAGAAAGGGCCACTCAATTAATTCCGAAATGAGTCTTGGATTTTATACCAGGAAGAGTATATACATGAGAATAATGAGAAATAATAAACAGCGGATAATGAAATATTATAGTGGTTCAGGTGAACGAAGTTTGTTAGTATTTAACATAACTGGACAGCAAAATTGTTGATGTGTTTTCCTTTTAAACGACTGACGACCAAAGATTGTTTCAAAACCACCTTCGCCGCATAGATGCAATTAAAGTGTTTTATAACTTTAATGTGTGTAATTGATAATTCCTCACCCATATGTCACTAAACGAACATAGCGCTATATGAAAATGACCATAGCGTTAAAACAACGTCAGAGTAATCGATATGTTTCGGCTTGAACGTGACTTCCGTCTTTCTAAAGAGAGATAGTAAATTAACAGCCAATTATGCCCTAACCCCCAACCACTCCCCAATGGGAATGTGCGCTGCCGCAGATAAATCTAGAGCAATTACCGTTTAACAAGAGAAACGATCAACTCTTGGAAACCACATCAAACATGCACTTTCATCTTCGCTGCTGAAAACTCTTTGAGAATTATGCCAGGGATAAACGTCTCATTGTTACCTATTAGCACTCACTGACGTATGTTTTGTTTGTGTGTCTGAAGTCCTGTTCTAGTTCGTTGTGACTGACACTGATTTAAGGTTTCAGCTCCGGGAAAAGTGCACTTGGTTGTTTCCCCCCTGTTTTAGTGCTTCCCGTAACTCAACCGTAGCTTACCTTAGGGTACAAATGTACACCAAACGTTGCACAAAGATATGAAGCTGCAACCCAAAGAGCCCGCCTCTGGAAAATAAGGCATTCGCCGTTTAAGTCTTACCGGCTGCGAACATGACTTGAAAACTGTGTGGGAAGTTTTGGCTTACATCTACAATTGAGCTAGATGCGTTCGTATTAATGGCATTGTAATGCACTGTAATACATTGTATTATGTTATGAGAATAGATAAATGTTTAAACATATACCATAAATGAACCTTAATAACTTGAAAATGGTAGTGTTGGAAGCATTATTCTACCTCTTGCCCACGCCTTATAGTACGAGCTTCAATATATAGAATGATTGATATTTGCCTACTTTTGAAGGACGTTTTCATTTATGCCAAACCCAAATGTTATTTTACTTTTTCACTTTATAAATTAGCCATGACATCAAAATGGTTATCTAAACAATTGATAAGAGTATTAAATTATGGTGTGACTAAATACCTGTTTCATGGAAATCGGGCACCCATTACGGAATTTTGTGGGGTTGCAAAAGCACCCCCTTCCCCCTAATCCTCAGTCATTATTTGTATCAAAACAGAGTTAGATTTGTAATGATAGGTATATCATGACATTACGATCTTTGATATTTTTTTATATTTCAAAGGTCGTAAAAAAAACAAAAAGGGGGTGCAAAAGATAGAAGCATTGCCTTTACACCCCCCTCCCCCTTGTAGATCAATAATAGCAAAAGGCGACGATAGCTTTCATTCGCCCTTAAATCTGGAGACAGCACTAGGAAATTGGCATTTGGCAAGAGGCAATGCATACAGGTATTGGAACAGCGATCTAAGGTTTTTTCACGTCATTAACCGTTATTCCACGATTCGGGATCTGAACCGGCCTTTCCACACCCAAGCTATACCAGACCATTTTAATTGATACTTCGAATCCTTCGAAAAACATAATCGACATCGAATTAACGAAATTAACCTCTTGACCTTATGGCCCTACCCCTGTAAGATTCGCAAGCAATCGATAATTTTAACACCACGCAAACACTGGCAGTGTTAATTCTGCTGTTATGACCACTCGAACCAACTCATTATAATTAGGGGAACCGAAAGCACCCACATTGGCGCAATGCTTAAAGAACGTCTGTTCAGTGAGCGCTGCGGTGATGCTGTTACTGGTACTGCAACTACCGCGCTGTTCATGAAGTCCCCTCGCGTGCTGCCAGCAGCGCTGTAGGCGGTATCCCACCTGCCTGAAGCAGTTCTCTGATTGGTTAAATCGGACGCTGCTAGGAATATAAAAGACAAGACAAGGGATGCAGGAGTTAATGCACCCGCGAACGCTCTAGGTGCGTACTAAGGACGTTGATTGAACAGCAAGACCAAGACGAGGTGATTTGATATCAGAAAGAACAAACAAGGACAAAAGATCAGTCGTCAGCAGGACCAATACCCCGACAATCTACACCAAAGAGAACCCAAAACAAAAACAGGGCTCAAGTGACGAAATTTAATAATTGATATTCAAAGCGAAGAACACTACATTAGAAATTTGAGCTGTGGTAGTCAAGGGGAACGGAAGTAAAAAAATAAAAAAAAACACGAAAACTATTCCGAAATCAACGTTGTTTAGGAAATTGTTATATCGATTCGTCAATAACAATGAGCTGCAGTGGGAGAAGGTGCGTGTTTCTGCGACGACAGGACTGGGCCCTTGCGTTATGTGCAGTAGTCATGAGCTCTATGGTGCTTTTGGCGAGAGCGGCACCGGCGACCGTCGAGACGGAGCCAGGGTATGGGTCTGTTATAGAGGTGACCGATGAAGAATTTCGTCCGGCCGGAACCGCAGTACAGGTATTGTTGGTGATGGTGTGCTTTCATTCATCCCCGTTTTCTCTCTCTCTCTCTCTCTCTCTCTCTCTCTCTCTCTTTGTGATATTTTTGTTTATTTTATCTAATAGTCTTCCGACTTTTCTTTCCTTTACGCATACCTTCGATTTGCTGCTATGGTTTGCAATATTTCCATTTTTCTCTCCTCTTTTGGTTATTGTTTTTTTTTCTCAAAAGCTGAGGCCATAATTTTCCATTTTTTTCGTGTTTATTTCTCCGATTTGTTTGCTTCTATGTATTACTGCTCCGTCTTTCTTTTTTGAAATTTTTTGTGTGCAATCTTTGTTTAAATTCCAAGGCACTTCGTTTTGCATGTACCCTCCCATATAATCCTTCTCTTCTTTCTTTAAACCGAACAACAGTTAACTCTGTTATCTCTTTGAACGTATCTTCTTACTTCTAGGGCAAGTTAATATTTGTTCGTTTTTCGCCTCTTCGGATTGCATATTTCATATCTCATTTTTATTATATCCTCTTCCCGTGTTTTGGAATCAATGCACCATGTGCAAAACCGTGCTTCAGTCTCCCAGTCATGATCTTTCCAGTTAATTCTCTTAATTATCGCATTTTCATTATTTCACTCGCATCAATCGTCGCTCTTCTTTCGCCTACAATCATGCCACTCAATAAATTGATTTTGTTGAAAGACATACAACACCCAAGAAAGAATATCGCAAGGTCGAAAACAGTCAGAAAATTGTGAGCCGATTGTGTAACGTTCTGATTGCTTCTGTTCCTCAAACAAAGAGCTATTATAAAAAAAATGATGAACGGAGTAGTGTATTGATAAGCTGAAGTGGCAACATTATTCTATATATATAACCCGATCGTTCTCAACCCGTATAAACATTGCTGCTGTAGACATGTTGTATTAAGAATATGGAGTTTGATCATTTTTACAATAAAGATGCTTATTAAGTTAGTACCTGTGTCAAATAATATAAACCGGACCATATGCCACCGTATAATTTCAAATAGGATAACTTAAGGAAAATTCTGTTTTGGTCTTGCTTCATATGTATCTTAAATGAGGAATGTATTTCGATAAGATAAGTTGAAGTATTGTCACTCATTACTGAATATTGAGAATGCTTTCGAATATAAAAAGCATCCCTAATGCTAATGCATCTATTGCACTGATACAAATAATCGAAATTTGTGACAGGTAAGATTTTTTCTTCGCGCCGTACAAGCAAAACTATTTGATGTTATTGAAATATCATGCCTAGCAGCAAATTTGTTTTAAAATAACCGTATATGCACATGTGCAATGTAGACCTGTATATGCACAACATGGATGCCATTTGGATTCCAATTACACATTAAAAAAACAGATGCCACAAATGTACATCTGTTCCGGATAAAGAAGTTGTCGTGCATAGCCTCGCGTGATGCAAAGTGCAGTGGTAGAATTACACATTTGGAAACCAAACACAAGTACTGAAACTCGAAACATACAAAGTTACACAGCTAATGTAATTGTATAGACAGTGATAATGCAATTGCAGATTGTTTCGTGAGTAGGCCCACCGGCACGGTACTTTCGTATAATGGTACCATCTTTATCATATGATAAAAAAGATCAAAAATCATTCAGGTCTAAAGTCTTGTTCCTGATTCCAGCAGTGTGAAGTAGCCATTATTTGTTCGTGCAATAGCACCAAGCGCAATTGTGCTTTAATAACGCCTAATATTTCTGTCGCATTCGATATTAATATTAATACCTGGAACTAAAAAAAAAACAGGCTAAATTGCAAAGATTTGCTGTGTTGGTGATTGGCAATGCCTTTTGGAGTGGGTGACCACTGTAGGTTGCAACGGACGAGGACTGATTACCTTGCGTGCAGATATTTCCAGAAATCGGGAGGTGATATATGTCTCCTCTCCTACATGTGCCCCATTGTCCATTAATTACTTCATGCAAACCGAATTTCGCCCAGTACAGATCCGCTTAGTGCCGCATTTTTCTCCCTGTCCCTTGTATTAAACCCAATAACTCAGGTTGCAACATTTTAATTCAGGGACACGCTAAGGTATTTCTGTTTTTCTCACGGGAAATCGAACACCGGTAAAGCTTTAAGTGATACATGACTTATATTAGGGGTTATATGAACTAGAACCGTTGTGTATCACTTTTATTTTCATGGGGTTGATATATTAAATATCTTTATGGCAATAACCTCATAAAGACCATTGTTCGAATGCTAATTATAACGATCTCTTTGAATTAAGGGACCATTTAATATCGGGTTTAGTTTAAGTACTAAATATCTAAAGCACACGAAATGATTAACGCTGATATGAAATAGTACCGTCATCGTGTCAAGCAGTGGTGTGCGCTTAGTAGGTGTGTTAGGTAACGACCAGTTATGACCAGACATAAATCATGAAAAAGTGAATTTGAGACAAGTAACCTTTTCAAGGACTCCTACGCCATCAAGGCACAAACACAGTCACCTTGAGTCAAGCAACAGCCCATGTTTAGATCTACAGTGCCGCCCGAAACTAACCTTACCGTATGTATGATCAACCCGCAGGGACCCGCAGAGTAAGTAAGGTTACATTCCGGCGGCACTGTATCAACAAATTAGACCAACTTTGATGTTCGTGTTAGACCTAGAACCCCCCTTTCTTTTCCGACCCAACCTTTCTCGACTGGATGAGCAGTCCATATCTTATTTCGAATTTATTTTGTGTTAAAGGTTTGAATTTTTTATAAATAGATTGCATAGGTTTAACTCTACGCGGTGTTCCCGTAAATGTGGTTGTTCAAATCAAACAAATGGCGCTCCAGCAGTGAGATTTTGGATGGTATCTATTTCTATACGTATCTCAAAAGAAAGTAATTGGGGAAAAATGAAGAAAAACGTTTTGTATGTTTTATTTGGCATTTACTTTGGATATTCTTACATTATCAGTCGCAGATAAGTGCCCCTTGCACACAAACACATTAGAATTACGAAAGTGATATGATACTGAGCCTGAGCAATTTTCAAATATTAACGCGTTGATATTAAAAAATAAATGCACCTCGGCGTTGCAGTCTAGATCTCGTGCAGGACACTGTTGATATTTCACATCCGTCAATTAGCCAGAATTCCACAGGAAAAAGATCTCCAATTGTATTATGTGCATGACACTGCCGTTAACATATATGACCTACATGTTGGCCTAAATCGATTGTACGGCATGCACATGCCTTAGCGCACATCAAGGCGTTAATGTGCGATACTTAACGCCAAGTCAACAACTTTTAAACATATTTCTTTATGTTTTAAGTCATTTAAGAGCACATACAGGATGATAAACTTCTGTTGGCTCTCTTCCATTATATTAACCTTGATGCCTTTGTTGTACCCTCTCTCTTTCCCAATGAACTCTAACCATATCAGATATTACAAAGCTCAGATAAGAATGACAACGTGCGAATCCCAAACGCTTTGAACACAGCGCGAAATCAAATGAAAGTCCGATAAATGGTTTAGCGGCTCAATTAATCGCAAACGTGGGACAGGAGAAAAAGCTGATTACGACGACCCGTTGTCATCAGTGATATTTAATAGTGCCTTTTTTACACTTGGCTTTTATAGAGCGATTCTGATTCGATCTAAATTACGATACAGACTTTTACTTCAGTCACATCGACTTCTTTCAAGATTAAAATTGTGTGAAATATTTAAAACTAGCCTTCGACTTCTATACACCGAAGTCTTCTTATTTTAGGGTAAGGAAATAATATTTTCCACATGATTTACATGCAATCAATTAAAGGTATAACAACTCTTCACATGGGATCCGTATTACGCAATACATACATTGTTAACTACTAACAGAAATATAATAAATTCTATTTTACCGCCAAAACGATGCTTGCCATCGGATTACGTGACCTCCATAGATGGCTACTCTCTGTAATAATCTCTTAAATGAAAAATAAAAACACACCACCAATCTCCTAAGAGATTATTAAAGAACTTACTTGAATGTTGGAAAAGGTTGACTAACCGTTTATAAGTATGGTAAATTGCCCTTTACCCAGAATTTTTTTTTGGGGGGGGGGCAAAACAAACAATTGTTTTCCCTTAAAACCGCGCGTAATTTCTTTGTCTTTTTTAAAGGACTAAGTTTGAGTGGGCACCTAAAATCGAGAATGAGAAAAGAGAGCTCGAAAGAGGTCTGCATGATCACAGCAGGGGCGTCTGATGTTCATGTCATAAAGATCGAAACGTACTCAAGTCGTGAAAACGTGGTGTGAATTGTTCCAGATTTAGGCGGACGTTTTCATTATCACTGATAAGTCAGGTTTTCGACACCAGTTACGCTGACATTTGTTAAGTACATTAATTCGCAATTACTGGAATAGACGTTTAATATGCGTGTGACATCTGTAGAATTCCTTAGGGGGGAGTTAGTCGAGCACGTTTCATATTAAAACAATGTTCATATCAATATTAATTTTAGTTAGGAGTTCCGACCACCAGTGTCATATGTCAAATGAAGAAGATCCAGCAGGAAAGACATACCTTAAAAGAACCTTCCACAACAGAAAAGCATTTCATTCTAGATAAACATTCCATTCTAGTACATTCTGCTTTTTTTCTTATTATGTTTTTTGTTACACACCGATGCTGCGTCCTGACAGTTTCATTTGTCAACTTGACGCTGCTCTCTTGATGAGGCAGTAAACGTATCGATAGCTATTTGCCAGTCTGATTGATTCCAGTTACTTGCGAAGAGATATCCTTTTATGCTCTTTGATTAATCGTCAACACCCAGCCTCATCTTTTCACAGGTCTGGTCGTACTCTTAGGATAGCAAGTATGACAGCATTCAGATTCACACTGTGCAAGCTTGGTCGATCCAACTCAGTGGAGGATGCTCGCTGAAGTGCAATTAGTGGATCAGCTAAATTGTCTGACATGCTTCCTCCAGCAGCTAGGGGGTACGTTTAGTCAACTACCGTG